GAGCGGCTCGCCTTGGGTGACCGCGGCAGGTTGCGCGGGCTCGAAAGCGCGCCCTTGCCCTTGGGCGATGACGACGGGCTCGACCTTTGCCGCGAGGGCTGCGCGACGGTGCGCGACGGCGCCAGCACGCGCTCGTGCGGGGCAGGGCCCATCGACGGACGTCGCTCGAGGTTGAGCGGAGCGCCGCCGGGCGATGCGAAGCCGTACGACCACCACGACGGGTTGGCGACGTACTTGCCGACGGGCGAGACGCCGAGCGCCATGATGCGGTTCTGCTCCTCGTGCTCCTGCTGGGTGGCGACGGGCATCGAGTAGCTGTGTTGGTGGACGGTGGGGGGAAGGGAGTGGTGCGTACGAGCAGTGCCAGAGGCGTCAGGCCCTGCTTCGTCCTGGGTGCAGGGATTGTCCGCAGACCACTCTGGGACTCACCTCCTAATCATGCCGGCCGAGCGGGGCGCGGGTGGCTGCAGCCTGCCGTGCTGCTCTGCGGCCGTCTTGGTGTCGACGTGGAGCGGGCGACGGCTGCCGCAGGAGGGACCGCCAAAGGTGGCGCAGGCCTGGAGCGTGTTCATGCACGAGGGGCAGATGCCCTCGGATGCGCCGCGCTTTGCCTGGCGGCGCGAGGCGAGCGTGTTGCTGCCGGCGGTGTCGGCCTTTGGGGTGCTGTTGCCCGAGTCTTGGTTGCCGCGGAAGAGGAAGCTGAGGTCGGCCATGTCCTTGGTGCCGGCGGCGGGGGGCATGGGCAGGAGGGGCGTAAAGGGGGCACGGGTGCCATCCTTGAGCTGTGCTCCGCTGACGGCGTCGTTCTGGACGCGGACGCGGGTTCCTGCGAGGCCGGGGAGGACGTTGGCCTGGTGCTTCTTGGGGGCCGGGTCGTTGGAAGGGTCGACGAGGGGCGACATGTCCGAGATGGAGCGATGCCCGAGGCGGGGCCGCTGTGAGCGCAGCATGGACTCGGCGAGGAACGTCGACGACGACGACGACATGATGCTGGATGTATCGAGGCGAGGCGCGAAGGGCTTGGGGGAGACTCTTTGCGCCGGGGTGGTGGTCGATTAGCGAAGCGGCAGACTGAAATGCGGTGCCAGCAAGAGACGGGACGGCGTGGCGAATGCGTGTGAAGACGAAAGGGAGAAGGCTGGACTTCTGAGGAAGGCAAGGATCGAGGCAGGATGCTCGAACCCCGTGACACGAGAAGGTGGGGGAGGGATGCGGCGAGGAGACGGTGCGGGTGATGCTGGATGGGAGCGAACGCGGCGAGGAAGGGCGACAGTGTGATGGATGGTATAGCGGGGCGTGCGGTCGAGTCTTGGGTCCCTGGCGATGGTGTCTGGATGGTTTCGGATGGGGTCGGGGATGATGCGGGGGTGGTGCGATGCGGGGATGATGCGGGGATGGTGCGGTGCGGAGATGGGGCAAGATCGAGGGAGAGCGGGGGGCCGAGGTGCGATGCCTTCGATGTCAGAGGCTGTAGGCGCCTTTGGCTTTTGGGACGGTGCGGAGCGGGTAAGGCGACCGTGACCGAGAGCGAGCAACGAGGGCGGGCGGGATGTATGCTGCAAAGGTGCGAGGGTGGCGATGGCGATGGCGATGGCGATGGTGATGCTGGCGTGGTGGATTATTGGCCGTGGTGATGCTGTAGGAGGGACCCCGGAGATTGTTGGAACCCGAAGGTAGACAGACAAGCAGAGGTGATGAGGGAAAGGGGGAAAGCGAGCCGACGACGAGGGCAGAGGATGGTGGATATGTAGTCTTTTTGGGCGGCGGCCAGCAGAGGCGGTCGAGAGATTGCGGGGGAGTTGGGCAGATGGCAGGCAGGCAGGCAGGCAGGCAAGGGCTAGGGGGCCTCAGGGTCTGCACCGACGCGGCAGCTGTCTGTGCGTGGGTGCGTGCAAAGGCAGGGTCGACGGGCAGGCAGGCAGGCAGGCAGGGCAGGGTGTTGCAGATCCCTGTCCTGGCAGAGAGGTGCGGCAGGAGAAAGAAAGACGATGTGACAGCTGCTGGTCATCAGGCAGCCAGCCAGGCCAGCCAGCCAGGCCCAGGGGGAATGGGGCAGATGAGGAGGATCACCAGCGGCGGCTTTGTTCCGCGTGCGTGCGAGGGCAAAGGACGCAGACGCAGACGCAGACGCAGACGGCCAAGGTGGCTGGCTGGCTGGCATGGGGTTATTGCGCCTTGGCCACCTCCTTGCCGCTTTGCTTGCTTGTCTGTCTGTCGGTCTGTCTGGGCCACGGCTGGCCTGGATCGACTCGGCGGTACATCCGTGCGTACAGGCACGGCACCGCCGCCACGCTCCGCCGGCCTCGTCTCTGGCGAGGGCCGTCAGGGGTGGGGAAAAAGACGCACCTTTGCCAAGCGAGCCAGCCCACCCAAAAAGGGCCAGGCGGCGTAGGCCAGGCCAGCAAAGGCTAGGCAGCCAACAGAAGCAAGCAAGCAAGCAAGCCTAGTGCCGAGCAACGCAACGCAACGCAACGCAACGCAACGCAACGCAAAACGCAATCCACTGCGCGCGTGCGTGGGCTCGCGGCCAGGCCGTCCAGGCCAGCCAGCATACCCATGCCACCAGCCAGATGGCTCTGGGTGACACCTTGCCCGCCCCCGCCCTTCCATACCAGGGCGCCCGTTGTTTGGCAGCATCAGCAGGCCGCCGCCCTGTCTCGAGGGCAAGAAAGCTGCCGTCGCCGCGTCCTCGCTGCCTTCTTGGCTTTCTGTGCGCTACACTCTGCTCGATATCGACCTGGTCGATACCATGGGGGATCGTGAGTTGGCAGAACGTCTTGCTTCCGATACGAGGGGCCACGTCAACTACTTACCCTTCTCGACGCGACCGGCCAGCCAAAGCAAAGGCAAAGGCGAGGCGGGCGGCTCGTCTTCCAGCTACCGGTAACTTAGCCCAAAAGGGCGGCTGCGGTTTTCTCACGCCCTAGAGGCAAAGATTGGAATCCAGGATGACGCTACAGGTGTGCCGCGCTACGCTATGGTCCCTGCAATGGAGAAAGCGAGGTAGGTAGCAAGTCCTTTTCCGCGCTCCGACAGCAAATACAGATTACGCTGGGCTGGGCTGAGCTCTGAGCTGGGCTGGGCTGGGCTGGGTTCTGAGCTGGGCTGAGCTGGAAGCGCAAGCAGGCGGGGCGGAGAAGCAGCCCGCCAGGAGTGGCCCCACCAAGCAGATGGCGACGACGCCAGGCCAGGCCAGGCAGGCCAGGCTGAGCTGGGCGGCAATGCACGCGCCAGAAGTCGATCTGTCTCCAGCCGGCGCTTCCCATGCGACCCTCCTCCGTCCCAGCTTAGCTTGGCCTGGCAGCCTTGCCGGGCTCGACTAACGCCGTAGCCGCGACGGGATGACTACAGAAGTACTGCACAGTAGACGTACTGGCCCAGGATTCCCAACAAGCAAGCAATGAGCAAACCGACGTACGGGCAGCGACGAATCTTCTCAGGATATACGGGTAGGCCTGCCTGTCTCGCTGAGATCTTCTGTAGCTAGCTCTCTCTCTGATCGTGCCCGGCCGTCTTCCCAGTGCACCGGATCGCTTCGCCCGTCCATCCATCTGCCCGCCTGCCCTGCCTGTCGGTCGGTGTGAGCTGCCGAAAACGAGAAATGGACATGACCTGCTCAAAGCAGCAGCAGCAGCAGCAGCAGCAGCAGCAGGCAGGTGTGAGAAATCGAGGGCGGGCAAGGGCGAAGAGGAGGCCGGATCTGAAACCGGCAAGCCTCAATCTCGACCCTCTCCTCTCCTCTTCTCTCACGCCCCGCTCCTCACCTGGCAGGCCTGCCCGTCGACGACCGTGCGTGATCCTATTTCCGGATCGTCTCTGTGGCCCACGAGCCCGAACAAAGGCATGGTCCACCACCGTGCGAAGCCCTAGATCTCTCGTCATGTCGACGGGAGGTAGAGAGAGAAGGGAGAGATCCGACATCTGTCTGAGGACATCGACTTCGCGCCGGTTGCGCACAGGCAACGATCCACTCACCAGGCTACGGTCGAGCGTGATGGAGTCCTCCGTCTTCAAACGCCGTCGTCGGGGCGCACGTCGCGCACAATGGGAAGCGGAGGCGCAGGCAGCGACGCAGCACCGCCCACCGCCATGGTACAGTAGCTACTAGGAAGTACTGTGGGCGCCGCCACCAACGACGACGACGATGCTCGCCTGGAAAGGACAAAGAAACGAAACAGCTCGTCGATATGCCAGGGGCCTCTAACGGCGGTGGTGTGGACTCATCAGCACCACCGCCTGTACTGGACCTACCTCTATCGTCTGCCAGGCAGGCGAGACGGCACTTGGCCCGACTGGCTGACCGACGAACTGACGGTCGGGTGGGGGACGCGGCGAGTAACGCTCTCTACCCTTTCGTCGGCTATGCTTGCGGACGCCGTCGCTGTCGCCGCCGCCTGTACGGACGCGGCGAGGCGCGGTGTATGGACGGTAGTGCGAGGGTCTGGCTTGGTTCGTCAGATCCAACACGATGGGACAAAGCGGGGCCCAGGGCAGGATAGGGCCAGCTTCATGGACTGCGGGAAGCCTACCTACCTGCGCATTACTCGCCGGCGCTTCATGCGATGGCTGCACGAACAGCACCAACGGGGCAGCGCACACCGCCAGGCTAGGCCCGCTCGCGCTGGCACGCCACCGCCGTGGCTCGCTCGACACTTGGCTGCAAGTGCCATATGTGTGTGTGTCTGCCCGACTCGGATTCGGCGGTCAACGAACTCACCACCGCGCCGTTCTCGAAAGCCTCGACGTTCCGGCTTCGTTGGCTGCTGGTTGCTGGTTGCTTGCTTGCTCGTCGACGCGAAGAAAGAGGGACAGGCCCAATTCGGCTGGCCAAGCCCTCTAAGCTTCTCGGTCGCGGGTGTACCTACAGGTACCTGTCTTGTCATCGAAGCCCCCTCCCTGCAGCCAAGGCGACATCCGCGACGATTCGGTGCAGCCAGGTCAGGCCGGAGAAGACCAGCTGCCTCCGTGGGCGGAGTTGGCCCGGCCAAGGGTCGACGGCAGGGGCGCGTTCGACGATGCTCATTTGACATCCTCGCACACGATCATGCTAGGTCCGCTTCCATGCAAACGTCGAGAGCCGCTCGTCGTCGCATCACGAACAAGGACATCGCGACCTGTCAGCCTTTCCTGTAAGCGCCCTCGAAGCCACCGCAGTTGGATCTGTCAGCATACAGGGACAGGTACGGGTATGAGCAATCAAGCCAGGTCCTGTTGCGAAGGCTGCTCGTTGTCATCGGGGACACGTACACGCACGGCATCATCATCTTGCGGGATCTGACTGCTTACCCTTTTTGGGCTCTGCCATGTGAAGCGCGGCTCCTCCTGCCCCGTCGAAGCGTTCCAGCTGCAGTGCGATCCGGCAAGTCGTGACAAGGGACAGCGACGGAGCGGGCAAGGCGGAGGACCGCCCGCCTCGTCGGACCAAGCGGTCGGGCGCCGCGCCGGAAGGAAGGCGATCGCGCCCTGCGGTGTGCCTTCCGACCTGTCCTTTGCGGTGCGAACCAGCCGAGAGGAGGTCGACAATTGCGTCTTGTGGCCGAACGCGCGGCGGTTGCTCGGCCGTTGAGACAGAAGCAAGAGCAATCACCATGCCGCCGGCGCGCTGTTCTTCGCCATGTAACGCTCCTGCCGTGGACGCCTATGTGCAAATGGCACAGAATAATGGAGCAACGCCCGGCCGCGCAAAGTGTCGACCCTGCGCAATCACGGCCCGCACCTCGAGTTGGCAGGATGAGAGAGCATCAATGGAGCGAGCCAGCAAAGGCAGGGACCGGCCGTCAGGGTGCACAAACATTCCAGAGGACCCGTCGGCCGTGCGTCCCATCAACTCACCTGCTCCCCGCCCGGTACTGTATCAAGGCAAGATGCTGTGACCGTCGGCCAATGGCCTGTCGCGCTTGCGGTCAGCGTCGGACCATGGCAGGAGGAGCCCGCCAGACACGAGCCCGTTCAGGCCGTCGGCCTCGCTATCGGCGTCCCCAGTGCGATAATTCAAGCATAACCACCCTCCTTGTCCGCCGTCTGGGTGGGCTCGCCTGCCGGCCGCCGATAAAGTTGAATGTCAGTCGCACCGACATCTGCACTGCTGTCAAAGCGGATCTCGTCCCTTGCCTCTCTTTGCTGATTGTTGTAGAAGATCGATCTGACCCACGCCGCAGCAGAGGCGAGGCGGGTCGGGGGCCTGGCCCACCGTCGTGCTCCTGCGGTCTGTATCGGCAAAGGCTGGGTGGGAAAGCTGTCCGAGCTCGTCTCGTCTCGTCTGGGAAGAGTAGAGCTCGAGCTTGCGATCCTGCTCCAGGTCCAGACGAGCAGGGGGAGGGGGCGAGCCCAGACGAGGCGAGAGAGTGACACACATCCAAACGCACCATACCGGTTGGAAGAGGGGCTTGGAGCCGCAGCCAGGCACAGTGCTCGACTCGACGTACTCTGCCGGCTCCACTGTAGGCGTGGTCCATCGGGAGCCCGTGCGGCGGGAGCGAGCTCGTGGCGGCGACGGGCATGACCGTGGCCGTATGTAGCAGGTACTGTAGTGGCCCTGGCCCTGGCCCTGCGTGGAGCGATCCATACCCGCCTGCCTACCGCTCTTTCGGGGCGCTTTGTCGTGGCTCCACCTGCAAGGGGTCGTGGCGGGAAGGAGAAAAACAGATCGCGAGCTGTTCCACAGGGTTCAGCAGGCGGGAGGGAGAGAGGAGCCCAGGCAGGCAAAGGGGCGGGCGCGGCGCCTGCCATCCGATGCGACGGCGTCTTCTGTATGCGTGCGCCAGGCGGGCAGCTTTGACAGGTCCGTGCTTGGGCCCGTGGCCGTTGGACCCGTTCGTGTCCGTTCGTGTCCGTGTCCGTGTCCGTACGCGTCCTTCTCGCCATTCATGCCTGGCCTGACACGCACCCTGCCTGCCAGGCCTGCTGTACGTGTTGGATCGCGAACAAGCAAGCCGGCCAGCCAGCCCGGTCTGCCATGCTGCAGCAGCCAGGGTCCACGAAGTTATGCAAAGCGCTGTCGGCTGGTCGCGTAGCGCGCTACCTTGTGTGCGATGCGATCGCCGGAACCAAATCAAGGGGTCCTCCAAGCTCACCTCACGTCGTCCCGTACCCGCCCTGGGCCAACCAACACCCAGCCCATATGCATGCATCGTCCTGTATCGTCTTGCTTGCTTGCTTGCTGGCCGGCTTGCTGGCGGCAGATCGCGCGTGCATTCGTCCCGCTCGACGAGTTCTTCGAGCGCCGACAGGAGGTGGTGGCGCTTGACGAGCGGCTACTTTTCCTCGTTCCTTCTCTTTGCTTGCTTGCCCGTCCGCTCTTGTTTGTCGCTCCGCTGCTGGTCCATCGGTGCATCGGCAGGGGGTCGGACCGAAGAATATGAAGCTCAGCATGATGCGGACGCACCTCAGGTCGGTGGCCGTGGCTGTACTGGTGCCGTCCCGCAGACCGCCCGTTCCTCGTTTGGACAGGCATCCCCTTTGCCGCTCCCGGCCGTCCCTCTGCCATCGCTGCCGTCGTCGCCGTGCGAGTCCTGGCCGGTCTTGGCAGCAGGCGGGCAAGTCTAAACGAAGCGGCCTACTGCGTGTGGCGATCGGCGTCGACAATGCCAGACAGGCCTCGACAGCCAGCTCTGCACCCCTCGCTGTCCTGTGGTCATCCAGGCGCACCTGTTGCCCATGTATTCTCACATGGACAGGACGGAACGAGGGCAGGTACTATAAGTTGTTAGGTATGTACTTAGTACGGTAGCGCAGGCGGACACCGGGTCTTGTCAAACCGCCTTCTGCTTCCAGTTCTCGCTGGCGGCCTCGCTCACCTGGTTCCTAGACCTGTCACCGCTGCTCAGCGACCAAATAGAGTAGGATGGCAAGCGGCAGCGTTGCGAAGGGCCCCTGGTCCGTCCTCAGGCGTGCACCGATAGCCTACTGTAGCCGCCCGGCCAGGCTGTCAGGCTCGACGGCCAGATTAGGTTGGCGCTTCCGGCGACCGCTTCGCGAGGACTGCCAGGGAGGCAAGCAAACAGAAGCTTGAAGGAACGGACGCTTCGCACGTTGGCCCGCCAGTCGCCTCTCAGCTGTGCGTCCACCTGTCTGCCCTGCTTGCTCATTTCTCGATGCCTCTTCGTGTCCAGTCCGCTTCCGTACCGGGAAGGTCGCACGCCCCTGTCCCGGCCGGTCGTTTGGCGGCGGCTTGAAACGGGACGCGACAGATGATCCGGCGAGGAGCTTCTCGACCTGGAAGATGGATCGGACGTGCCAGCCGTGCGTTTCTCCCGATCCGAGCCTATTGTCGAACAGGCACCTTGCTTGCTTCCTTCGCCCGTCCCTCTGTCTTGCCTTGGTCGAGGGAGGGACGCCGTCGTCGACCCGAGTCGCCGGTCTCGAGAAGGAAGGTAGCGCAGTTATCCTCGCGCTGCGGTTGCGCTTGGTGTTGCTCGTCAAACGAGACCTCGATCCCTCGATTGTCCCATCGAGGGCGAGGGCTGCGGCGAGGGCGGACGACGCGGGCAAGCCGAAAGCGCGGTTCCGACCGTCCTCGAATCTCATCGAGATGCTACCGCCATCTATCGGCCAGCGAGCGAGAGTGTATCCCCGCGCTGCGCGATCCGGTTCGGCATCTCACGCCATGGGAAAGCGCGGGACGATGGATCCGAACCGATCTGATTCGCGTGCGTGCGCGCTTGCGTGTGGGTTGGCGTGAGAGATTGCGATCAGGCGCAGTCGGGAGCGAGTGCTGCCTACCTCTGTGGCCGTGGCATCAGCATCCAGGCGCCGGAAGGTAGCGGCGGTGCGCTGCGGTGCGGTGCGAGACGGTATCGACCGGCGGAAGCTGACGCGTGGTGTGCCGGCCAGAGACGATATCGACGCAAGCGGCGGTGGTTACGGGAGCTCCATGACGTCCATGTGGGCTTCCGCTCCTGCTGCCGCTGCTAAGGGTCTCGCACCTCGAACGGCGGCTCGAGCACAAGCCAAGGAGATCAGAGATAGGCAGGGTGGCGGCGGTCAAGACGGCGGGCGGCACCATGTCTCGCGCCTGCATGGGAACGCCGCTTCATCGACCGAGCACGGCGGCGTCGCTGGTATTCTCACTGCGAGCCAGATGGATATTGCCGTGGCATGCTCTTGGACGCCGACCGGCCAGCACAGGCGCGGCGTACAGATAGCGCAGCATCGGAAAGTACAGCAAAGGCGAAGGCACGACGCGATGCCGTTACGTTGTACCTGCACAACCGTAGCTCTGTCTGAGTCGGAAGGAATCGACGGGCGAGACAGGAAGGAGAATCAGCGCGGTTGGTCGTGTGTGGGGGGTGGGGAGCAGGCCAAGGGGGAGAAGGAGAAGAAGAAGAAAGAGGCGAGGGCGGGGGGGATGGGGGGTGGGTGGGGGGTGAGACCAACACCGTACCGTACCCCGAGCTGGCCAACGAGCTACGGTACGTAGACGCGTCCGTCGCGCCCTGTTGAGCCCCAACCGCTTCCGAATTTCCAACTGGCGGCGCCCCAGGGCGAGACAAGGTCTGGCATGTCGCCCGCCCCCGTCGTCTGCCGCACCCACCCGGCTTCATCGCATCGCATCCTTACAAGCTGGCTTGCTTGCTCTCGTCGCAGGCGTTCTGTAACAGCGCGCACAACGACGATCCTTCAGGCACCCAGCAAGGGGCGCAGAGCTTGCTTGCTTGCTGGCTGGCTTGTGTGTGGTCGATCCCCCGTCCCGCATCGCCCTCCCGTCGCCGTCTCGCCGGAACACTCGCGCGCCCCTGTTCTTCGCCTCGTGAATGCCTGCCTGCCTGCGTACCTGTACGTATGCTTCCAATCTTGGGCGAGGTAACAGGTAGATGGGCACGCACAGCATGCTGCTCTGCCTCTGCCTCGCCTCGCCCGTCCTTCCCACGTAGCTTCTTCCTGAAACCTCCTCATCCCCTTGAGCACCGAGCACGCCATACTCTGTTCCGTGGCTGCCCGGCTCACGGCGGCAGACCACCGCCTCGGTCATCTTCCCGTACCCTTCCTTCGTTCCGATCCAGGCTCGGATCGCTCCGAGCCGCGGCGGCCGACAGGCTCTCGATCAATGGCAAGCATGCTGTAGACTCAGCCGGACAGTCTCGGTTTCGGTCCACTGGTGGCCGTACAGGATGAAAGAGCAGGATGCCCAGGGCAAAGACACGGATGGCGAGGGAAGGTGTGGGAATCCTGGCCACCGAGACGCGAGGCAAGCCGGCGGGCGGGCCTGGTGGCGGATAGACGGGCGCTCGAGGCGGCTCTTCGACCTCGTCCCGTCGTTGTCGTCGTCGTCATCGTTGATCGCGTTCGTCGTCATTGCGTGGTCGATGCAACGTCAGTGAGTCTAGGATGGACGGCAGGAGAGACAGCGGAGGTCATTATCCTGCGAGCACCGTCTCCTTCTCCGCTCAGTCATCGTCCGCCGCCGCTCGCGGGCTCGAAAGGCGCTCAGCCGCGACCTGGAGGCCTTCGAGCGCCTCCTGGCAGTGCTGCTTGGTCGCGTGCAGGTACACGAGCAGCCCAGGGATCGCCTCGGGCTTGAGCGCCATCTTTTGAAACGACGACACCGTCGAAACGCCGGCACCAGCCCTGGCACCATCCTCTCCGCCGCCGCCGCCGCCGCCGCCACCTGGGCTGGCTGGCGAGTCGAGGCTCTGGCTGACGTCGGAATCGCTCGTGTCGAGCATCGCAGCATCGCTGCGGCGCATGCCCTGCAGCG